ACGCCCCCCCCCCCCGGACGGAGAACAATGAACATTTGAAAACGATATAGGCTGTGACAGTGCCAAAGCCACTTACTTTTTCAGAAGACAAGGAAGGCAACTTAAGCATCGGGATTTATATAGACAATAGCCAGGGAACCATTGTTACTGCTTGCGAACGAAGGCTGTCTTTCAGCTTGTATATGCTGAAGTTGATGCACATATCCAGAAACTAGAACAGTTAATATTGCCACTCATTACCACGACTGAGTACACAGGGGGTGGGACATTTCAATGCGACAAGGCAGCGGATCACACGTTTGGAATCAACGGAAGCTGTTTTCTGTTGCGTCGCGTGCAACTATCAGACTAGCCAACATCAAAATGGTTAGCAACGTGCAAGACTGATAGCGGAACGACCGTCTACGACTTCGAAACCGAGTAGCTAACTGCTGTGAAACAAGAACATTAAAATGCCGTCCGTCTAGTTGTTTGTGACACCATGTAGCTTTCCATAAAGGTTCGGAGATTAAATTATTGGAATCTATTAATGAGAACGCGTCCAACAGCAAGGCACCTCAGTGAGACCCTGTACTTCAGTCATGTCCAGTTGCTAGTGCTTGGTTTTACGTGTTCCTTCAAGTTGAATTACTACAAAGTGTGCTCTATGTTCCCACCGGTATCTATCACTTGCGGACCAAAAACCGTCCCCACTTCATCTATTAGTCCCGGAGACGCAGCACGGGTGACTCTACAATGTTGACGCAGAGTGTATTGATGAAAAGAGGAGATAAAGTGATAAACATGCAGCTATCTGAACAAACTGAAGCAAGTACACGCGGGCTTAGCCTTAGCAGCGCAGGCACACAGTAGCATAATTCTATCACTTATGACTTCCTAATCAAAATAAGGCCAAGAAGAAAAGTATGCCAATCTAATAGCTTCACGCGGAAGAACAAAAGACAGTTCTTGGTGCGCGAGAGGTGTGGTCAACTGCATTGTCTCGCTGAAGTATACCATCCTACAAACTAATGATAAAAGTGGCAATGACGGTTGTTCTGACCTAGGCACAGGATTTTTGGACACAGTACACGGCATCAACTACTCAATTAGCTCGTAGACTAAGCAGGACGAAAAAATGAACCACTAGATTTAAGAAACTAGTGCTTTGTACTGGAGCCGACACCCAACATATCTAAGGGAAGAACAAAAAGTATCCATCGAACACTCTCATTTAAACACGTACTCGATCATAACGGAAGACTGAACCGAATCTAGCTGAATCTTTCGTTTATAATGTTCGCTTTCAAATGAACGTGTAGGAGTATGATTAGATACAGAAGGGTTTGGGTCTTACGTTACACTACAATAGCTTAGTCTGGACAGAAGCTTATGTCATCAGTAGTCGGTGAAAGAGCTTCTTCAGTTCCGCTAATGGAAAAGAATGACTTATCGATGGACCGGATTCCGGGTACTGGCAAAGGCAAGAATCCCATATGGATAGTCAATCACTTGAACAGGGGCTATTCCCAGCCTTTGGAATAAAAAGATAAGAAAAAATGACGGGTATTGGTCAGCTGACTTGGTCACAACCCGACAGGCGAATCACGGGGACTATCTGCATAGCTGGCAATAACTTCAAGCAACTTGGGCAATGAAGTAATCCGAAACGCTCTTGCAGGTACCTTACGGTATCAAAGGTGACGGTAGGCACATTTTACCTGAAGTGAAATACGTAGCAGTAGCTTCCTTGAAGGACACAGCTGTCATACGACGTGTAACAAAAATGAGCTCTACGATTTAGGCAAGAGCAGTTAATTAGAACTCGAACTCTGTCAGTAATAAAGACACTCCTGTTTTGCAGTCTATTCAAAGACAAGCGAAGATTCAAATGTAGCCCGATAAGTCGATAAAATAAAAATAAAAAGACGAACTTGATCTTCAGCAAGGTTGGGATCCTGAGATTGATGGAACAGGATATCTTTTAGTCCGAAGCAGTTGATACGTAGGCTACCGTTGGTTGGAGGACATGGATCGGAAAAAAAAACGGAAGCCAGTCAGTCATGAGCCAAGGTAGCTGAAATTCTGACATGAATCAACGCTGAAACTCTGGCAGTACACAGAATGAATTGGCTCCACACGTTAACGCATAGCATAGCGGTACACATGGAGGTTACCACAAACGCACTACAAATTCGGGACAATTACGCAAGGTTACAGCGTCTAAACCAGTGGGCTGTGTTGACTGTGTTTCGTTTTTATACGACACAGAAAGAATCGCCGACGTTAGGAGACTGTCCCGTAAAAGTACACCATAAATATGAAATATGATTGCAAGATTGCACTCCTGGGTCCTGTCATCAGTGCACGACGTATTGCTGCAGACGCCAAACGAGGGACAGGTAACACAACGAGACGTGAAATAGCGGAGCAAGTGAAGATCCTGTGAATCATTGGCGGTGCCAACCCACACCATAGCGTGTTCCGTTTAACCCCAATACTTCTATATTCATCTGAAGGAATCAGAAGAATAGTTCGCTGTAATTGTCACGGAAAATGAACGTAGATTCAACCGGTGTGAATTCAACAACCGAAAAAGCAGGGTACGTTGCATGTAGGAAACAAGCAACATGAATTTTCGAGTTCAATGAGTAAAGCACATGTTAAATCTGAGAGGTTTCTCCACAACATGTAGTGATTCCACTACATAGAGACCTTGATCAGTGGCTACAACGACACCAATAAAACATTTGATTTAGTGTTTTCCTACAAGTGAACAAAACCCATTAAGAACAGGAATTTTGAGGAATACAGAGCACAGGAATAGAACTAAGTGACACGTTCTCTAGGTACTTCACAGAAACACGTTTGATGATCTTTGTAAATCCCATAAAGAAAGGGTTATTTAAAACACAGAATGTACTTATTCAAGTGGGCGGAATGCACCGAGCTCTAACCAACCAGCTGACATAACGGTGGGTGAGTACAACAGACCAGGCTATAGTGCCTCCTCAAGCTTGTTTACTGCACTCAAGTTGATATGCTGCTGAAGTACAATAACAGGTAGGATCACAACGAGAGTTGTCACCCAACAGACCGCCGAGATGCTGTCACAAACGCATACTCATGCCAGTGGCTCTCCAAGGATTGTTCTATTAGCTGAAAGTACAGCCCCACGTTCACTCAGTTTTACAGGCTGACAATTTTCCAAGATGAGGAGAAATCACACTCACATCATGCGTGATCAATTCAACCGCAGGGCAAAATCACATGTTACGGGTGTTTGAAATAAATCTCGGAAAAGTTTAAGGGTTCTATTTCGACAGAAGAAACGCTTCCTCCTATTCGGTACAATAGTTCTGACCTCAAGCCGTCATAAGACCGTCCATTCCACCTCGCACTTTGCACAGATTTCCTATTACGAGAAATCCGAATTAAGTGCTATTGATTCACCAGGACAACACTTGGCACCAAGTGGACATACACAAGCAGTGTTGCGCAGACAAGGGTCAAAATTGTTTAGCGTGTGGATTGCATACTGTACTATCAGCAAATAGAGAATGTATGGAATTTCAAAAGCATGACACAAAGAGAAACGTGCACGAATGACTCCAGTATTGACCGGATTCCAAGTATACTGGAGCCCAAAATTATACTCAAAAACATGTAGCTAGTTTGAGACTCACTAAGAGTCTGTAAGAAATACCTAATGTTCCTGGTTGACATCAAGAAAAAGCGTTCAGCTGTAGCACCCTTCCGGTGCCTTGCTGACATGCCACTCGAAGGAAGGAAGGTTAACATCAATAAACATTTCTTTTCATTTCACGCCATCACGGCCTGTTGTGCATCCCCAGTTTACTCGAAAGAAACAGCCTCAAGTCAACTGGTACTTCTGAATCTCTACTTCACCTGGGGAAACACTGTTGAAACTTCCCGCATGTGGCATTCAAAACGCTTAGCAAGATTCACACGACCCATGAGTTTGTGATTGTAATCTCTCTTTGCATACCCCAAGTTGTGTCCAATTGTCATTCAAGGTTGCGATCGCGTCGAGTACCCAAACGGACTGTGCGGCCTCCTTTTGATCATTCCCTTTTCTTTTTGACTGAATCCCGACAAAGTGGCAACTCTCCTAAGTAATCATGTCCTTAAAATATTGGGAATCATAGGAAATCGAAGGTGAGATAAGCTCGTTGTGATCGAATTTCAGAGCCAACTGATGAGTTGTTCTGCACAAAGTCTGGTGCAGTATATGAAAATCGTACGCTTTCATAAAACAGTACAGAGAGCTTACCGTGTTCCATCTTGTATTAGGACTTTCGTGGGATCTAAAATGCCACAGGCTCGATGAACTTGTTGATGTATGAATCGAATTCCATGGACTAGCTGAACCAGGTAGGACCACAATGTGGTTTCCGGAAGCATTCCCAAATCGGATGGACCACCTGGGAAGGAGGGAAAATTGATCACGAAGCAGAGCTTTAGATATAAGCCACCACTACATCTAGAGGAGGCATTTCCAAATAACGAAATAACAGTTAAAATACACTGGAAAAGTAGTCCACATCTGACAGGGGCTTTACACATTAATACAATCGTATCAGAGTCGTTGTGAAAAGTCGTTTGACTGGATAAGTACTGAGCGAACCCATTCAAGCAGTGCAGGGACAAAACCATTAAACTGCAGGCACACTGCTAGCATACCCTCAAAACGACATCACAAGTAAACAGTCATCTGAAACAACCGGCGTAAGATGAATGAAACTACTTGAGTGTATGAAGCAACCGTGCATGGAAATAACAGTTCCAATCGCGAGGACAGAACAATTTCACCATCCCTTACGATAAGTCTACTCGAAAACAGTGCATCAACCTGTAAGGAGGTTCTGTACAAAGGTACAGAATGAGGTACAGATGAGAAACTTGAAATTGTGAAGGGATGAGTATTCAGAGGGGAAATAAAAGCTGCTAATAAGTTTGCAAAATCAGTCCTTCAAGAGACTCTGCTGAAGAGGGGTTATGGTAGTGTTGCTCGACAGATACCGTTTGGCGTGAACCAACCCTCCCCGACAAGAGACAAGAACGCCCATTCCCTCGCATTGGTCAACTGAAAATGAGAGCATGAGTGACAGTCCAATAAGCAAAGGAACACAGAAAAGCATACTTTTGAGAGCGCTGTGGGGTCGCACTGTTCGACTGATGTTAAAAGGTGAACTGAAGCTTGTGAGTTTCATCGGATCACTCATGTGAGTTTGCTGTAGCGTGGAGGAACACGGAGTGTATTCGTACACAACCACAGCGGCTGAAAATGAGAAAACAGTGAGGTTGCTGATATACAGTTGTGTAAAGCCAAATTCTAAAAAGCGATTTTTGAGTAAACACCGACGGTAGTTAAGCACAGGTGTTTTCCAGCGGTGCTGCTGTTAATGATGATGATGCCATTACTGTTATGAGAAGGCAGTTTGAACAAATTTACAACCCAAGTAGTTCGGCTTAGTGAGCTGAAGGAGCATGATTGCACGCTGAGTCCCAAGATAGCGGTCTATCCGCTGTGAATGTAGGTGGTAATCTCATGTATCAAGTCACTCCAAAAACAGGCCGTATGAGCTATTTTAACAATTAAAAGCCAGTGACGCTGCCCTCCAAAAGAAGTTTCTGCAAAATGGAGTTTCACGTCAACCAAGACCTAATGCGCGAACCCCGTGGAGATAAAGTGAAACTCGGAGAGGAAAATCCCTCTTCCAGGCATGAGTTCATAAAACGGTTATTCGTTCGAGTCCGGCTTTACTTTCACGATTACTCCTCTCTGAGCTTGAGTAACTCAGTGGTACCTCCGTCCTCGCGATGCGTAGCACAGTTGGCATGACTGAACCAATTTTTCTATAGACAGACATCTCTCCTCTAGCAGATGCCTGCATCTGTTCGTGAGTTGCTTCAGACCAAATACGTAGGAATTCACATATAAACATTCCCAAACATCCACATATGAAGGAATATTTATTTTAGTACGATAGTGGTTTCCATTTTGGTTGTTACTGTCACGCTTGCGTTGGAATGATCACGTGCTCAGTGTGCCAGTCAACGGACTTCCGTAGACAATCTTCTACACACAGCTATGTGGAAGGTGGAAGCGAGACAGGGGAGGTCAAGCAATTAATTAACAGCGAAATATGAAAACTATTAGCAGCAAACTCAACTGCGCTGGTGAGCACTCTGAAGCGGAACACATTGATAGCTAGATAAACGAATAGAAATGAACCAGTAGCGCGCATACATCAGAGCTGTTGTTTTTAGTGTATCATTTCCATTCCCGACCTCCCCCAAATCAAAAGCCTGCTGACACTCCTGGATTCACGCATCAGTTATATCTACTGTTTCCAAAGCGTAGATACCTACATCTACCTCCTCAGACCATCGGTGGATAAAACTGCGGTAGCTATATCCACTGTACAATATGTACGCGGTTTGTACAGCTGGGATGAAAATACATCTCAGCTGTACAGTGCATAAAAGATCTCGATGAAGACAACGATGAAACAGCTGGTGAACAAATCCGTTCCAGATGATGGAGTGTCAAACAAAGGTGCGAAAATATGCATCAAAACTGAAAACATCAGCTAGAAGTCCACAGTGTGATTGTGAACTATTTTACATCCTACAAAAGAGGCAAATACGGGAACAACGCATCAAAATATGAACCCACAATTGTCGTTGAAGGCGTTGGTGAAAAAGACGTCACGAAATCCTACCACCGCCGGATGATCCAACTCAGATAACTGTTTTGCGAGAAGATATGCATCTGGAGATAAGGCGGCCTCGTGGTCCACGGGAAGAATTACCCGACGTAGAAGCATCGGTCGACCAAACCGTGGAGACCAAGCTTTGAAACAGACACAAGGAAGTCCAAACGTCACAGACACACGAGGCTGTTGCATCACTTCGAGAGGTACCAAGTCTGTGTATGCACCCAAATTGCGAGGGAGTTCTAAAAGTATTGAGTAGATGAGGTAGTTAGAACAGCAGATATGAAAGTTAGGTAGAGAGAGTATTGGCCACATCTTGATAATACATCAAACGGTTGAAAAGCACCGCATGTATCGCCGACCAACAGTCGTATTTTTTCTAGACTATAAAGGAATCTTTGACTCTGAGTTAGCTGGCCACAGCGAGTGCACAGCAAGGTGGCAAAAGAAGATTGTTGATGACTGAGAATCAATAGATAGGAATATTAAACTTACCAAGTTCAGGTGATTGTGGCATGTACTACGTATACCTACCACCGTCCACCGAAGATAGTTTCATTTTCTGTTCCGGACGATGGTTGGTGAAAGACGGACGAGTCATGACACAGCAGTATGAAATGAGAGTGACTACAGTCCAAATGGGTACTGTGGGATGTTCGCACCTTTCTGGTTGGGATTCATGTGATCCTGCTTCCACAAGTTTGGAAACAGGACATACACGCAGCCGATCATAGTGCCGCAGACGCGAATTCTTGGACAGACTGTGCAGCTAAAGTACACTTGTAGTTGTGCGCTGAGCTTACACCAAGTGAGACTCTAAAAGAACGCCGAATTACTTCCCTTGATGGCACCTTGATTAGACACGAATCTCAAATGTGCTTACTTTAATGTTGTCCAAGGGCTGTGTAGGCTTCCTAGTCTTGATAGTCTACCGTAAGAACACATGGCTACTTCGAACAAAATCCCTTCACTTTTCCATCCACTCTTTAGTAGGGCTTTCTTGACTCGTAATCGCATGGGTATTACTAATATACTGCTGTCAGTGACGATAACGCTACAGTGATAATCACCTCATTAACAGAGATTCCGCTGTTTCTGTGTCCGCTATACCTTGGGCTTTTCGGCAACGAAAAAGCACGTATCCAAACTAGAGCCAGGAAAAATGATAAAATGGGGTTCATACAAGTCCAGGCTTACAGCTGAATCCTGTAATTTCGCCTCAAGCCCGGAGAATAGCATTGTTCCGGATCTCCAACAACTGAAAACTCCTTCCGGGATTACATTTTAGCCGGCACCGACGTTCCTTTAGGCGGCCTCCTTTAAAATAGCATATGGAAAACGTCTTCCCTATAGTACAGACACTAACAAGTGTTTCCACAACACTCCACATATACCCTGTGACTGTAAACCCGATAAACAGTTGGAACTAGCAAGAATCGGTGCATATCGATTCACATATCGACCCCATGTTGTTCAAGCTAGAACGTTCGGAGCGAAAATACCACAATGACCTCTCATCATCGAAACTTGTAGGTCCTAAAAGGCATTTTCTTCAATGGGTCATGGCAACGAAATTCATCGTAACAAGGAACTCTCCGTACGACTTGAATAGCGCTCGTTGGGGCCTTAAAATGTGTTCACTGTAATAGTGTTCGTCTTGATGTACACGGGCAGCTCTGATTCATTGATATGGTTTGAATAACTGGCTGCAAATCGGGAAAATTGATGTGTTAAACCCGAGGGGTCAGACAAAGTGCACATACTGGGCACTACCAAGCAGACTGACGGTTTTTCCACACACTGCTGTGGTGGCAAACGCACAATTCGAACAGCCACGGTTCGTTGCACAAGCGATTGAGATCAGCATATCATAGCGCGGTAACCGAAGAACAGTGAATCAAAACTAAGAAAGTGTACTTAAACTGCATAATATTATACCGCTGAAGTCCGTATGCTAGTACAAAGAACGACATGTAATTATTGCTCTGAGGACCTCCAGTTTACCTGTTACTTTTAAAAACTGGTCTATCCGTGGTGTATGGATCAATCGATCGGCGTCGGATGAACCTAGAAAATAGAGCCGCTAAACGAGGGTTAGGAGAACGGCTCGTCACGTGATAGTTGCAAGTGTAACAACCTAAACTGCCACGAGGTCAAATATATAGATGTGGTACTCGATGAATAAGTAGAACATACGAAGATTGAATGGGACCAAACGAAAATGACTGTGATGTTGCATGTTAGCCAGATTCTATGTTTTAGGTGAGTAACATTGAACCACCTAGAGCAATCGCACAAAGCATTCCTCTCTCGGTACCCGGTCGCTGTTCCTGACCGATACCATCGCTTTTCACGTTCCATTTTGGCATAAAGTGGCAGTATTATGCACCATTTCTTTGCTCGAATTGGGACATAAAATAATGAATTTAAGGAGGAGAAAACCAACTTCTTCGAAGTGTATTGGGCTGTATGATTTCCGCTGTGAGCAAGAGATTGTCTCTGATAATTTCCGTCACGAAGAGACTGGACCCTAGCGCGGTGTGACGATTTGTGCAACTCAGCGATTCACTGAGCTATACTGGGGGTAACCGCGACACTCACAGTCTCTCATACAAGGTTGGTCAACGATTGGATGTCTAACGAACACATTTTCCTGGTCGTCAAGGTTGGGGATTGGAACATGTGGCGACTTGTTCCCAAGAAATGGTAATGCACTTGCATTTCCCGCCTTTCAGCTAAAGGCTTTGGTTGAAGATCCTAATCGTCCTTTTGTCTAGGTCTGGGTGCCCTGACAGCATCCCAGCCCACGTGCAACCATGCTACGTACGTCTAACAATAAACTCGACCGTCGCATGATGCCATCTGCTGGGTCACTCTACTTGCTGCACACTATCGAGAAGGTCAGATTATTGAAAGCAACAACTTAATGCTTGAAATTTACTGGGACCCTCAGCTCCGCTAGATGCTGACCAGACAGACAACGCCCCTTCAATACACAGCGCGTCACAGCCTCGTACCAAAGCCAGCATTGGACTAAGTTAGACAATGTCCCGTATTTTCACACTCGCATGCACGCTCTCGCACTCGCTTATTAGGAATATAGCTGTTGTGTTCCCTTCTGTGAGTCTTTTTTTCGGGCACCATCACTGGAGCGGGTCAGCAGCCAGATAAAACAGATTGGCGAATCAGCAGATAAAACACATACAGAAAGGCAAGTGAGCGGAAACAGGCTACGGTTGACGCCTCCCTTATTTCTCTTTCACAAACTTTGTCTCCCCTCTCTCCCCATCCCATTAAAAACTTTTATTGAAGGCCCAGCACTTAGGACTGATGAATCCGCTCGTCATGCATCGGTTTTGCATGCAGTATCTGCTCGTCACATGGCGTTGACATCCTCAGGTATCTCCAAGTCACTCTCCAAGCCTCGACACCCAGTCTATCTGGCAGTCTTCAATGTGCGTACTCTGAAGCAACTAGAACAACAAGCTGCTCTTGCTCTCACACTGGATTCGCTTGGCATTGATGTCTGCTGGGTCTCAGAAACGAGAATTCAAGATGCAAGCACAGTGACTGAGCTAACTGCTCCATCAGTCTCCACTCGCTTCAGACAGCGCACCGCTGGTGATTCTGAGGCTGTGACGGTGGGATGTGAAGGGGTTGGTATCATTCTAAGTCACTGAGCGAAAGTATCCTTGCTTGACTGGACAGCTGATGATAGCCGCCTCTGTGTTGTACGCCTGGCAATGTGTGAAGCAGTCTCACAGGCGGGAAGTTGATCATCATCATCATCACCATCATACGCCGTAATACACGCGTACTTGTCGTACAGTAGTTGTAGCTACCAGTTTCGTTCACCGATGATTTGGGGAGGTGTGGTAGGTAGCTGCGCACTGGAGGCGGGAGCTGATAAATCAGTGTGTAAATACAGCACGGTCAGTGAATTGTTAAGTGGGAGAATTGCGAAGGGAGATATGCAGTGAAGGCACTAGCTTGGAGTCATGAGCGCCATTGAGGGTGCGACTGGGTCATGTCTGTTTATCGTGTCTGCTTACGCCTCAATTGACTGTAGCTCCGACACCGACAAAGACAAATTTTATGGCGCCGTGGATGCTCTGTTGCGGCGAGCTAAAAGCTTAGACATCATGGTGGCTGCCGGAGATTTGAATGAAAAAGTAGGCATGATTAGCGTATCTGAGACCCAATAAGGATGTCGACATGGATTGGACTCGGTAGGTACAAACCAATGGTGAGCGACTGTTCCAACTGTGTGCTGATCGCAGGCTGTTTTATGCAGTACTAACTTTCGAAACAGCCGAAGTCGTCTGGCCTTATGATGTCCTCCAACAGCATGTCGGCCACACACTCAGATCGATCACACTGCGGATCAATAACCGAATGCCGGTCATTCTGGAACATATTTGCGGATTCCGACCAAGCACTCGTCCGGAGTCGTTTCTCCCTACGCTTTCCTGGGCCGCGTAAAGTGCGGACAAATCGCTTGGCAACTGAGAGACTGGCAGATCCGGATGTTAGACGAATGTGACAGAATCGTCTTCAGATTTGAATTCATACTGGGACGAGGTTGCCATCTCTTTGCATAGTGCTGGGAATTTAGTCTGTAGCAAGGCACCTCCTGGCGCACTCAAGTACTGGATATCAGGCAAACAGTGGCACTGCTTAAATCCCAGAGGAATATCCCAGCCGTCCCGGAATATAACTTGATGCGACGAATTATCAGACGTCAAATGAAGATGAGCGTGCAAGCTGACCGTGAAGTGTGGTGGACACCGAGAGTCAAGGAAATGGAAGAGACCCAGAAAGCCAGTAATACCCGAAGGTTATTTCACTCGATCCGTGTGACCGGTCCCCGGAAACCACCTGTGAGCGAAACCATCAAGGATCGGAAAGGAGTAACTATTTTGAATAAAGAGGATCACCTCGACCGGTGGGCCGAATACTTCGAACAACAATTGTCATGGCCACCAGCTGCCACTCACCTGGAGCCCATAGTTGAAGTAGAACCCTGAACGGTGAACGTAGAACCACCTACGGCCGGTCTACAAGTGCATATATTTTCTCAAGCGCTACCGAGCTTCTGGTCCAGACGACCACCCACCCGCATTGTTCAAAGGGGGTGAAGTCCTCAGTTAGCGCTTATCTGATTGCATTTGGGAAAAGGAGTCTGTCCTAGACAACTGGAGCGAGTTGGTGATAGCGCCCATTTTCAGAAAAGGGCTCGTTCCCCTCAGGGGGGATGAGTTTGAGCCGTATATTGGAAGTTGTATTAGTTCTGATTGTAGTGTAACGGCTGAAGTCAATGCACGAATCTGCAAGGCTCGGGTCGCATTTGCTAATTTGAGACACCTACGGCGTCACTCGTCCAACTTTATTCTTTTCTTCACAATAAGGCCTTAAAATAAATCACAGTTGTATGGCGGCGAAGCATCAGTTGAACACTGATGCCATACTGTCGTAATGCTGATGACGATGCATGGTAACCTACGATCATAAGAAATAGATTTGGAAAGAGTGANATCAACCGCGAAGCCAATGCTTCATGAGCACATGACAAGTTGACACGATGCCGCTAAATGGATTCTCAAAAAACGATGGGAGGACTATGAATAACGGCCGGAAGAGTTAATCCATTTTATGCTGAACAGAAAGTACCGACAAAAGCGACCCTAACGAGACGACACCAGCGTGACAACACTGCAATGAATTAGGACCCTCGAAACATGGAAGACTAATATAAGCGAAAGGACGATAACTCACTCTCTCTGGTCGCCTCATCACTGGTGAAAAGACATGCTTGAACCTTGTTGTGTAGAACCTGTGGAAAAGACGAAACAAACCAGCGAGGAATAATTGAACACGACTAACCCAAGTGAAAGGAAGAAAATCACCCTTGAATTAAGTTCTCTTTTAAAATTACAGACTGCCACTACAAGGTAAAGACATTTTAGTCATCCCCTTTCTGGGTGTAGATAAAAAGATCACCTTGGAAGAAGACAGCCACAAGTTTTCAATCAATTGGAGAAACTTTGGAACCGATTGAGAAGTCATCGTTTCAGAAGGGCTTGGGTAAACAACTTGGTAAAAAAACATCGATTGTTTAACAAGCCCTTCCGAAACAGCAAAACGTTACTCACCTTACAACATAGTGCCGGTCACACCGTACTAATGGATGCGTATAATGGTTCAGCTGGACTTGGACGATGGGTACTGCAAGCGACAGGCGAAGATCATGAATCCCGTAGGTGTTCAAAACAATAACTAATTAGTCATAACAGCATCAATTTTGAGGGATGCAAGCACTTCGAGCAACCCGAACAACCGATATTATGTGGAAATACGTAAAACAAAGTTGAGACGTGTTTGGTGATAATGTTTAGAGGGCTCAAGGGTACATTCTGGTCAGAAAACTAATAAAACAAACAGTACTATGAAAGTTGCAACAGTAACGTGATCCAGGTAGGCGGATTGGAGAATGCAAATGATCGGTAGCGAGGAATATTGTTCGCTTAAGCTACATTCAGCCTATTCTTAACAGGTAATCGGTCATCATCAACAACGACAGCAGCACCAGACGAGAATACGGGTGCTTCACCGCCACAATTCAATTTATTTGAATACTCTCATAATAGAAGGAAAATGGGGAGGGAGCTGGCCTACAGCTAGCCTATCACAAACATCCTAGGTGCCTACACCTTCAACACTCAACCGAACAATCTGGACACAAATGGACAGCATGAAGGTCACCGACAACGGTTAGCCAACATGTTGTTCAGAGCTGTTCAGTAAACATGAGTAAAGTGAAAGTAAAGCTATCGAGAATTAGAATAGTTACCTGCTTGAGTTCATGATCCATATAGGACGCGTTGAATACACGATCGGTACATGCGCGAGATTTCAGTTCATGCACCCTGCCAGTACGCATATGCGCAGCAGTTCCCTCGGGAACCGGAGGAACCAGGATCCAGTTGGCTGCTTTAAGATTACCAGAAGCTTGAAGATCACGCGCCGAATTGAATTGCTGACTGGTATAATACTGTGTGGTTAGACCGGGGCGAGAATGGCCCAAATTTGGAACCTTCCCATCTGGTCGCAGTTCAATCGAAGCCTCGACAACAGGCATATTTAGATTTGGGTTAGCGGCCGCAGACGACTGGAAAGCAGCCTGTGGGTTGGACTTGCCAGGTGAGGGGAGGATAGATGAGTACGAAGGAGGTATAGACAATATATTGTCAAGACTACTCGTAGTTGTTGGGAGGTGGGAAAGTTCTGCATGACCCTCATTAACATGACCAATGGCGTCTTCAGAATGAAAATTGTCACCACCGGCGCTACCAAAGCGACCAGATACGAAAGGTGAGCATAAGTCAGACGAAAGTTGGTTGTTGAAAGACATCTGATTCGAATCCTGTAGATTAGAGAGCACTCTGGAAGCCGACTGACCAGGAGTCTGGGAAGAAACATATTGAGGGACCAAGGAGAATATTAGACGGTTTTAGGAAACTGCAGAACTTCAGATGAAGTATTACCGTAAATCCCAGTTATACCATTGAAACCATACGTAGCCTTTGGATAAAGTAGTCATGAAAGTTTTCTAAAAAATGTGTTAAGGAAGTAAGAAGTAACTGCGACTAAGGAAGGTAGATATTGTTGGCAATGACATTTTGGACTTTTATTAGATGAAAACCGCTATAAGTGACAAATGAAACGACTACGCCTTCAACATAAAACCACAAGAGCCCACTAAACAAACAAGTCCGAGAATTTGACATCGGTTTCAGTGTTTCATATGAAACGGTATGCCTATATAAGGTCCAGGCCGATGCATCGAACACTTAAAATTCAGATGGATAACAGGTATAAAATGCTAAATAATATATGGGCTATACTGGCACACCAAAGACATCGATAACGCAATCATTATCTCCCATGTATAAGCGAGTCAGCCCAAGCAAACCGATACTAGAAGACGTCTGGGAACGGTAGGCCAGTTCAACGCGACCTAAAACTGTCACATTGTCACCGTGTTCAGTCTTGAGTGCTTCCGTGAGTTCGGTCCACTCAACGTTCAACCGTGCCAAGAAAACTGAGAGGGAGGTGGCCTGGACGTAAAGTCGCCCTGACCACTGCAGTGGGAGTGTGAAGATGGCAAGATTTTTTTCTCCGGATGACTAGCATGCAGGTATTTATGGAAGCAGTGAGGAAGGACGGGTTAGGAAAGGTCGGTCCTGGATCGGTTGACTGTGACACCCAGCGAATTATCCAACACGGTCGAAAAAATACAAACCACGCCATGAGCCCTGCGAAGCCTGTCTTGCGCGTGCTGTATGTCATAACATTAGGGAAGAGCCATCCATGCCTTTCTTTCTGCGCGTTCGGGCTATGGCGGCCTCATGTCGCCAAGTAGGTTAGATTGTTGAATCATTGGCCTCGGGAGTGGTCCCCAAGAAAGCCCTAATAACCTCGTGGTTCAGACTTTTAAGCAGAGGATAGAGGAAGGGTCTCGGAAAAACTTACATCTCCCGCGGCCTTGTGGGTCAGACTCCTGAGTCGAAGGTTATTGTACATTTGCTTTCTAATTCAAACGTTTCCTCGTTTACTGCTTAATCAATTTTTCGTTCCAGCTCTATCTTAAAGTTTTGGATGAATAAAGCCTAGCTTCTAGGCACTCAGTAGTTCCCATTCTTTTTCTGATTGTCGCTGCACTCCATCCATTGTCGAACACAACAAAGGCTACGGCTGATGTGCCAGAACAAAACTCTACATTCTTCGATTGCCTTGTGGATGACACTTTTAAGCCGAAAGCTTATAACGGGACACGTCAAACAACAATTTCGTGGCTCTGGCAACCAAGAAATGTCACTCGCCTTTACGGCTATTCTTTCACTGAAAACAAGGTACGCCCCATCCCACCCATTAAATGATGCACCGCCGTAAACCTCATTGCCAGTTCCCTAACCACCGTCGCGTACCTAAACTATCGTCCAGCAAAAATAAATAAAGCAAGACCTCATTTTCGCCGTGCACATCAAGCCACGTTTCAACCTTTGGGCATCTACAGATCCTGATGCAATGGCTTGTGGTGTCTACGGTGTGCCGGTTGCACTCAGTTCTAAGGCTTAAAGAACCTTAACGGGTTTAATCGTCTTTGCGCTGTACGGTTGTCTGATTCAGTCAATGTGAATGCAAGTCGATGAGGCAAACGATGTCTACATGCGTCCCGTCACAATGCAGCTCGAAGCTGAGAATGATGGATTTTCCAGAGGTTAATCACGACTGCCTCGGTCAGTAAGAACCGATAGTTATCCCGGTGTGTAATATGACAACTAAGCCGGGAAGAAGCACAATTAGATGGTAGATTTTTAATCCACACTCAGTGTGATCAATGGAGGACTTCTCCAGTTGTGCTGAATACCGCCTGTTCTTGGCCAGTACGAACTTTCAGTAAAAACTCACACCAAGTCACTTGAAGGGTGCGAACCGCAAGCCAGTCACGGACTAAGTTGGGTCATGTGGCTGTCAATTACCGATGGAGAGCCTCAATGAAACATTACCGGGTTGACTTGACTTCGGTTATGCCACTGTGCGGGCCCGGTTGTAACTTCGCTTTCCATCTAATGTCCAAGGGCAGAAACTCTGTTCACCAACTTCGACGACATTTAGTAGCCCAACAAGATCCGGTAGATCTGGCTCAAGAACTCCAGGAAACACAATCATGCCCATGACAAAAATTGCCTAAGGGTTGAACAGAGGCAAGTGAAAGAAGTTTATGTCCTCAGCTTTTAGAACGGTCTGTCCAAGCCATCCGACTAGATTAAATTAACAGTGGAATTCATTGAAATCAGACATTATTGCCCACAGAAAACCCAAGCCAAAAACTATCGGCCTCCATGGCGCACATAGATCTTTCGAATGCCGGACAATCAATAGCTTGAAGAATTACGACAAACGCTGGTGGAGTGTGAAGCCCAAGAGATGCAGAAGGCCTCCGCTGCAGGCAACAGCTACGCCCTATTTCAGTCGTTTAGAAGGCAAGTATCAATCAAACACGCGAAGAAGAGGGGACGGCAATTCGTTCACAAATCGTCACCTTGGGAGATCGACTGAATATTGTGAACCACAGGTCAGCTGATGTCCTTCAATGCGACCCGTAGGAGAACCCAAAAAGCATGAATGGAACATCGACACCAGCAAACCGTCAACAACAGAAATCCAGCGTGATATGTCACTCCCCCAGCTCACCAAAGCGCCCAACCCGAATGATCTACTCTAGTGAACGGTCTGTCCTCCATTGTGGGAGATGCGGAACGAAAACAGAATACTAGTGGACTGGAGCGACCCAATAATGATCCTTATCTTCAAGAATTTCATACGAAAACCACTGAGGCATCAGTCTGGTTGATGCCTGCTAGCAGTATCGTCGCGCAGGTTGATCAATCATTGAGAGTGAAAAACTCACGAAAATCAAGCTAGGTTTCCCCTTGGACGAAGATGCATGGACCGTTCACTTTGAGACAAGTTCTTGAACAGCGCCACTTGTTCAACCGTCCCACATTGATTGTTTTTGTTAGTCTGGAAGCTCCCTTTGACTCGAATGATCGTCAGAAACATTGGCAATATTTCGCCTCGAACGTAGGATACAAGTACAGTTGCTGAAGTTACTGCACCTTATCTAGATGTTAGTCTACATACTTCGAATGATTGTGAAGCTGCTGCAGCGACTCGCGGTGTTGGGGACAGACTTAAGTTCTCAAGTCTATGCTTTATTGTTCGACTGGATAATAATAAAACGTTCAGCTATAACACCCTTCCGGTGCCTAGCTGCCATACTACCCGAAGGAAGCACGAGGGCTGGGATAGTGCCAAGTTGCCCAAGCCTAGACAGGAGAAGTCGAGAGGCAGAGGTCGGGTCCGAGCCACGGACCTTTTTGTCAATAAATTCGCGTTCTAACCACTTGAGCCATCTCGACTGGATACCTGCAAGCAACCGCCCATGTCCAACCTTGTACTTCGACAACTGTTCGAAATGGCCAAAATACTAAGCACCGCCTGTTTCCTGTGTGCACTTATGCATCAGCGATCTGTAGCTCCGATTCATTTAAAGATACTTTCTACCCAGAACCGACCATCCCATTGTAAACAACGAAGAGGTCGGTATGGTCAAAATAGTAGGAGACTTCAGTGCACAAATAGGAAAGACCAGTCCACCAGAAGCATGCTTACGTGGAGTGTTGTCTGATAGTTGACACATAAATACGGGGTTGTCAGTGGAGTTTTAAGCGGGGAGATTGGGAAGGGAGCTATGCGTTGAAGGAAACAGTTTGGATACACGGGCGCCATTGAGAACGCGAATGTATTGTGTCTGACAGTATCTGTGACCATTGATGTGTTCCGTCTCGGGGTCCCCATCCAGGATAACGAAGATTATCAGCGCAACTAAGTTTTCTGTCAACAGCTTAGACAATTCGCTACCAAGTCATTGTTTGAGCGCCTCTGACCAGTTTCCACTCTTCGCGTATTTGTGCGAAAACAGTGCTTCGAGGAAGTCAGGCGACTTACAAACGGAGCCCGTGATGAAGCCAGAGCAACCAATGCAATGTGATCAGTTCATCTACCGTGGGCGAGTTATTTCCTGAAAAATCATTCGACGTACGTCAGCATTATTGGTCTGGTGTTTCCACCACACTCGGACAGTGCTCCCAAGACACCGAGGGAGAAACACTGGAAGTCTTTTGACGTCCTCGGCGCTCAGTGGCCAGGGTTCTGAGCAGTATAATAATGAGCCCAGACCATTGATTGTTCCGTCTCGGGGTCCCCATCCAGGATAACGAAGATTATCAGCGCAACTAAGTTTTCTGTCAACAGCTTAGACAATTCGCTACCAAGTCATTGTTTGAGCGCCTCTGACCAGTTTCCACTCTTCGCGTATTTGTGCGAAAACAGTGCTTCGAGGAAGTCAGGCGACTTACAAACGGAGCCCGTGATGAAGCCAGAGCAACCAATGCAATGTGATCAGTTCATCTACCGTGGGCGAGTTATTTCCTGAAAAATCATTCGACGTACGTCAGCATTATTGGTCTGGTGTTTCCACCACACTCGGACAGTGCTCCCAAGACACCGAGGGAGAAACACTGGAAGTCTTTTGACGTCCTCGGCGCTCAGTGGCCAGGGTTCTGAGCAGTATAATAATGAGCCCACAGCAGTATTGTAAACCGGATCAATGACGGATAAGCTGATGTCGCCCATACGCCACAGGTGATCCGGCTGCTCTGGTCTTCCCAGTCCGGATAGAAATATAGTCTTTCACGAGGCCATTGGGATTGACACAGCTGCCCAGGCAGACAAGTTTGTCCACCACTTCAATGAGCACGAGGCCAGGGTTCAGTACCACCCAGTCTTGCAACAGTATTTTAAACCTTTCAGGTCAAGCACATGCCAAACCATTATTTA